GTTTAACATCCGAAAGAACAAAATTATTCAATTTTTCAACATACCCATCACTGGAACAATTAGCACTAGTATTAAGTTTTCTTGAAAATGTAGTGTTGATGTTTGACGATGATGCGAACAAACGTGTAAATGAATACGGTGATGAATTGTTCAAACAAGGTATTCGTGTAGAAGAAAAACTGCTGCTTTCTTTGTCATTGCTGAACTTTTATTTTAGCCAATTTCACCTTAAATCAACATCTCCAATGTAGACTCACAAAACCGCATTCTCAAATTTTACGGTATGTACTTTATTTATTGAGTTGTCATATTTTTTAATGATAGTAGTCTGCAGAATATTCACTGTGCCTTCGCAGCATGGGTATACTGATGAATACATAATTTAAAAAGTAATATAAACTCATTTTTGCCTTACGTATTTATCTACTGGCAAATCCAGTAATATCTATAGAAAAACTTTCAGTACATGTTTTATAGCATCGTTCTAAAATATGCTTTATGAAAAGGTAAATCTAATTCGTCCGCTAGTTAAACAAAGACGCAAATGTAATTCCCACGTGTGCACCATAAAAGAAAATGATTAACACAGAGATGTCCATTGCACGTAAAACTTTCAAATTTGAACGTCAGCCATGTTGTGCACTGGAAATGAGTATACTTTATTAACAGTTTACCTATGACAGATAATGTGGGAATGAGACTATATGACGCAAATCCCTTAACCACTATAGAATTTTTGTTATACAAGAAATCACCGCAAAACAGCCTAACCGCAGACTTCACAAATCTGCAGAATGTATGATTTGCACAATATTATAATTTCCGATCTTAACAATCTAAGAAGTTAGGACAAATTCTCAACCTTCAACACTCCTACAAATTCAGAGCATCGTGAATTCTATCAATTCATTAATTATTAAACTCTAAACCTTCATAACTTCTATAAATCCATAGCGCCCTGAATCGTATCCATTCATCAATTAATAAGTTCTGATAGTTCATAAATTCTACAGGTCCAGAGCGTCATGAATTCTATCAATTTATTAACTATTAAATTCTAAAAGTTCATAAAGTACACAAATTCACGGAGTCATGAATTCTATTAATTCATAAATTAATAAGTTCTAGAATTTCATAACTTCTATACATTCATAGCGTCATGAATTGTATCAATTCATAAATTAATAAGTTCTGATAGTTCATAAATTCTGCAAATCCAGAGCGTCATCAATTCTATAAATGAATAAATTATTAAAGTCTAAAAGTTCATAAAGTACACAAATTCACGGAAGTATGACTTCTATCAATTCATAGATTAATAACTTCTGATAGTTCATAAATTCTACAAATCCAGAGCGTCATGAATTCTATAATTTCATAGATTAATGAATACTAAAGGCTCAGAAATTTCTTCAAATTCTGAAACTTCATAAATTTCACAAATTCATAGGGGCATGTCTTGTATAAACTCATATATTCATAAGTTCTAAAATGTGATTAATAGAGGGATGTCCGTTGCGTAGATGACCCCAAAACTGCAGAACCGTGTAGTTTACAAATCTGTGGAGGTTATTAGTTGTACAGTTTTGTGATTTCATACTTTAACGGTGTAAGAATTTAAGATAAATTCTAAACCTTCATAATTTCTGGAAATTCGTAACGTGATAAATTGTACAAATGGTAGAAGTCCATAGCGTTATTAATTCTATAAATTAATAAGTTCTAAAAGGTCATAAATTCATTAATGCTAAGAATGATGCTTAAATTATCAGGTTACAAATTACTTTATTCGACTGCCGGGCGTGAAGGGGTCCAATGATGTGTAGTTGGCATTGAATAGGTTGTGTTGGGAAGGAGGTTTTTTGTACCTGTCAAGAGCTAAACTTATGAGACGGATTTACCGCTGAACCACACGGGTACATTAGTTATTAGTGTTATTAGCAGAAGACACATCGTTGAAGTCGCATTGTTTTTTAGAGTGTAGCTACAATTTATAAGAAGATTATTTTGCTATCTTTTAGATATATTAATTCCATTACGCTTATTGAATGTGCATTTGATGTTTTGAAACTTTATCGCGAAGCAAATTTAACATTTGATATGAGAGCAACTGCAAATGAACAGTTTATGAAAAGCGTTGAAAGGTTGATTAAAGAAAACTATGGTAAAAAAATTAATAACTCGACAATAACATCAGTAACAACAATTACCACATCAACACATTTAAATCCACAAAAGAACGACTGCTTGATTGTAAATTTAGCTATAGTTGAAAGTGCAACCTATTTGATTGAAATGAATTTAAAACAATACACAACTTTATTTAATTGTGAAAGCAGATCATCAGCACCATTACAATCAACAGTAACAACTACTCAATTAGTATCATCATCGACCTCACTAACTCCAGCAATAGGAGATAATACATTACAACAAGTTTATCGTGCTATTTTACAATTTTCTTCGATTGCATTTACAAAAACTAATTTATATGAAAATTCGTTTCTGAAAAGAAACAATAAATTGATTGGTCTTGCTCTGGCTCATCTTGCTGATATTGAAAAACTGTTATTACATTATTCAAGTGGGGGATTTAATGGTTTTACATCTGTGAAGATTTATGTTAAAATGTTGGCAATCAGAGAAACAGCAGCAGAAATTATTGATTACGATACAAAATTGAATAAATATGGTTTAGACTATGACCGTTTTAAAAAGTCATGTAGTATGTTAACATTTTTTCGTGATAATAACAAAATGAAACTTAAACTAGACGCATATAGACAAATAACAAGTAGTGTATACGCTACAGTCTTACAACAGGATACTCTAGAATTTTTATATACACCACCGGACTTAACTGAACCAAAATCAAAACTTACAACAAATAACGACCATGATGATCAAAGTGTTTTATTAGCAACAGTACGTACGCAACCCGATCCACGCTTACAATCACAAACGACCACTTTGCTATTACTGGCAGCACCACAATCCACAGTGATACCACGTCAACAACCCGATACATTACTAATCTCACAACCGCCAAATGCTGGTAAGAAACCGCATAAAAAGAGAAGAAGAAAATTTTCTATTTTCATTCAATTGTAGCCGAAACAGCTACCGATGGAACGATGTTACAAGATGCTCCTACAGATGAAGATGATTTTATTGACAGTAGCGGTAAAATTTGAATTTGACTTTTTAATATGCTTTTTTCTTAGAGAAACGTTATCTGGAAATTTCTTTCTTTTTTTAGTTCTCCCATTAACAGCTTTAAATGGAAAACAAAGTTTCAATGTTTCAATGACAGGTCTTTCTAAAGATGGTAAAGGATTTTGTGCTTCATAATAATATGTAAAAAGCTCATATCGAAAAACAAAATAAGCATATTTTGTGTTTCTGACTTTCATATGCCTGGTTGGGATTTTCTTTGATGAGAAAAGTTTCTCAAAATATTTTTTTGTTTTGTATCTAGACGAAACTTGGTGCATGTCAATTGAATCTAAAGATGGTAAGACCGAAAGTAATGTCAATGATCACACAATGCAAGGGTTATCAACAATTTTATCCAATGTAGCTACTCACGTTAGTCAAGATGATGGTATATCTTCACGAACACGACATAAACAGTATCGAAGAAAATAAAAATTTCTATAGCATGTGTGGCCGATGAATAACATACGTTTTTAACAGTAATATCAGTACATTTTTTTCTAAATATCTGCAATCATCCACATATTTGTGCGTTTTTCAGAAACCACTTATTTTTCTTCGAAAAAGTGTTGCTGTTTCGTTTTTTTATAATATTTTTTCTGCCATGTTGTTAAAAGTTAGAATTCGAAATAAAAGTAAAGAATCGTGTTAATGTTTTGTTTTTTATTGGTACAGGTAGCAAAACCGGTTTGACCAAAACCCATGCTTAACAGACAAAGCGAGATACGTCTGATCTGCTTTCTTTGTTCAGTTCTTGTAGATGGCTACATCTGAAAGCATGAACTCTGATGATAGTTACACAAATGATATGTTAGATCTGATAGTAAGTTTATTAAAATATATGAAACTCGAACACGTTTATACAGTTGGTGAATTAGATAGAGTGTTGCCAATTGAATTGAATGACAAAAATAATCATATCACTACCATCATAAATCAACATTATCAAACCAATTATAAGGCCCAAGATGTTTCACTTGTTTTATCTTTATTGAAAAGTTCGTGTTTACCAAAATTAAGTTCAACAATGTTTATTTTGTTGTCCAAATTAAAGAAACTTCAAAAGACGAATTTTTCAAGAAATTCAATTTTTCCACTGTGACCATAGTAAAATAAAAACTTTCTAGTACGTTTATTTCTATCTCGTTTTTGCTTGTAGAAAGATGCGTACAGGTCTTGGCTATCGAATACTGG